CCTCCAGAGACACGTACCCTTGTAATATACCACTCCCTCCAGAGACATGTACCCTTGTAATATACACCACCCACAAGAGACAAGACCCCTGTAATATACCACTCCTCCAGGAAAACATGAAGCAAATTGATGCAATTTGTAGGTCAACTAGAATGCCCTGCAAAGAAACTAGATGATTGAAGAATTGCCGGTTTGAACATTATACTGGCTGAGCTGCAATAAAGCAATGAAGCCAAACAAAGGCTATTGGAAAGAAACTGAGATAGCAGAGGCGTACGACTGCCACTTCTGTTCCATTACACCTTAGAGACTGTCCAACCTAGATGGGATGTAACACGCTCTCATTCACTGTCTGATCATCTTTATCTGGAAGCATGACTACATGGGACTTCAAACAATAGGAAAATTAGTGGAAATGTAAAGAGAGATGGACAAGTTTCTGGCTAGGTTTGAAGGAGCTCAGAATGTAAGTGGCATTAAGAGTTTAGGAAAACCTTGATTAGACGGTATGGATAAATAAGAACAGAATTGCTGGAGAAACTCGGCAGGTCACAGTAGCATCTGGAAAGAGAATGACTGGAGAAACCCAGATCCATTCTCTGCAAAAGGCGTATAGAAGGTTGAACATAAGAAACATTGATTACAGTCATGAGAGCAAAAATCAAAATCCTGAAGGAGAAAGCTAACAGAATGTATGATTGTAAGCTGCGCTCAATAGATACCAGTTTCTTTGGGTGATGGTACATATTGCAAACATATTTGAGCATCCTGACATCAGGCATTCACAGCAATGATTTTCAAAATCACTTCTTCTTCAAACTGCCAAATCAGTGAAATGATTTCCTTCTCTCCCCATTCTATCTCAATGTAACCTCAACCATCCTCTCCAGCGGCTTTCAGCAAACAATGAGCCGATTACATATACCCACTTTTGAGTGGGGTGTTGATTTACCTGCAATAATTCCTTGGTTTAAATGACCCTGAAACAAAAGGAGGGTTTACAAATTGGTGCCCTTGGCTGGACCTGTTTTCAGCTGATTAGAGTGGATCAATCAAATTTAAAGGGGAAACCATGAATGAACTGGTAACTAATTATATCATTGAGAAGGCAGCTATCAATGAAGGAAAAGCTCAGCAGCATCTGTGAAGAAAAAGGTCAGAGTCAACGTCTCTGAGGAACTGAGGAAGGGTCACCGGACCCAAAAAGTTAACTCTGATTTTTTTCTTCACAGATGCTGCCAGACCTGCTGAACTTTTCCAGCAACTTCTAGTTTTGTTCCCGATTTACAGCATCCGCAGTCCTTTTGATTTTTTTTAAGCTATCAGTGTAGATTGGATATGAATGATCTTAGTGGAGGTTGTCCAGTGCACGGAGCAGAGCGATCAATGCAATGTACAACTGCAGGCTGTTTCATTGAATCCCTACAATGTGAAAAGAGGTCAGTCACCCTATTGAGTCTGCACCATTCTTCCAAAGAGCATCTCACCCAAACCCATCCCTATAACCCTACATTCCCCATGGCTAACAAACCTAACCTGCACATCCCTGGACACTGAAGGGCAATTTAGCATGGCCAATCCACTTAACCTGCACAGTTGTTGACCTATGCCATGCTCAGGAAGGGTTTAGAGGGATAAGGGCCAAATGCTGACAACTGGGACTGCATTAATTTAGGAAATCTGCTTGCCATAGACGAGATGGGCTGAAGGATCTGTTTCCGTGCTGCGCATCTCTATGATTCTGTCTTTAGACTGTGGGAGGAAACCCACGCAGACATGGGGAGAATGTGCAAACTCCACACAGACAGTCGCCCGAGGCTGGAATCGAACCCGGGTCCCCAGCGCTGTGAGGCAGCAGTGCTAACCACTGAGCTGCCTTGGCTTCTGGTGTCATAGAGGCAGTCGATGTAGATAGAAAAGACCAGGATAAGAAAGTAGATTGGAAGGGGGAGGTATGAGGGCTGGGCTCACTATGATTTGGTAGGTAAGCCATTAAGACAGCAACCAGCCTGAATGCTAGAGTGCTTTTTGACTGTCAGGAGTGACGTGCAGCAAACATGGGATTTTCCACCATCTCCTGGTCCAAGGAAGCCGTGTGAGGTTGAGTTGAAGATGTTGCCTCTGCCAGTCCACCAGCCAGCCCACCAGATGGGCAAAGGGGGCTTAGGGAATAGCGGCCATCAGAAGAGAGTGGAAGAAAGGGATTTGAAGGAAGTGGAGAGGGAGTGGTGGCACACTAAGCACACCACTATGGCATAGATGGGTGGGGGCTCCAGGGAATGGTGTTGCTGGGGGGAAGTATCAGATGGTGGGACACAGGATGAGCGGCCACATCGATATAGTCTTTGTGCTCCCATCTCCATCAATCCCAAACACTCCTGGCTCCTGCGTCTTGGGGGCACGCGTGGGATCTCCCAAGCTCCCTCAATCTGTTGACCTATGCCATGCTCCAGTGGTCTGGTAACTGTGAACTGCCAACAGAACCAGGGTCATCAGCTCCAAAGACCATTGCTAGATGTCCCACATTTAGAGGGGAGACGGGGTGGGGGTGGGGGTGTGAAATCTAGCTCCCAAAACCAGGCTGGGTGACTGAGTCATGCTGCAGAGGAGGGTCTAGGTAAGGTATCATTGATTAGTAACTCCCCTCTCCAAGGGGTGGGTATAGAGGAGAAGGGGACTGCAGCAACAGTTCCTCCAGGGTGGCAGGGCCTGAATTAAGCATCCCGAGGAGGGGGGGTGCCACCTTCCTCTGTAGCACTGATGGCGGTGAGAGTTGTTGGGGTGGTCTTTCTAAGCGCAGCCAAGCAGGAGAGGGTCTTCGGCACTGTCAACCAGGTTTCAGGCAAAGCAGCGGAATATCCGGGGACCAGCGGCTCTTCACAATGCTGTTGGCCAGGACCTGGGGATCAGCCGGTGTCTCAGTGCCCACAACCTCTGCCCTTCAACGGGATGGGACCTTCCTTATCGGCTGGGCTCACCAGCTGGCGACTGTACATTCGCTCCCACGTGGGCTGGAAGCAGGGCTCCATCTGTCCAGGCATGGACCTCTGGGCGAAGGTGGAGTCATACCTTGGGAACCCATAGAAAGTGGGATCCCTCGGGGCCCAATACCTAGAAATAAAACATAGATATTTGGTACACGAGTCCGTAACTTGTTACAGCCATCAATGCTCACATGTACAAAGAAGAATGGAAGCGTGGATGTGACTGCTCAGTTTGTTCATTTCAATTTGAGATTGTGTATCCAGAATTTGAATATAAAAGCTGAATGACATCTTAAAATTAAAAAGGCTGAAGTGGAATTTATTTCAATCTGAATTTTCATTTTCCAACTGTGAAAGGCACCAAAAACTTTGTTTTCTAAGAGATAAGCTTCAGCCACATAGCCTTGAAGTTGGCTGGCACTAATCCAATTCGAACTTTTCAAAGCACTTCATTTTAATTGAATGTGAGGCCTTTCTTTTGAAAAAGAACTCACTCATGCTTTTATTTTTCCCTGCAGTTGGAAGATGTGCCTTTACTGGCTGTGTTTTCCAATTGAGATTAAGCAATAAACATCAGGAGTTGACATCAAAACAAAGTACTGCAGATGGGGAAGATCTAACTGCAAAACAGAAAATGCTGAACAAACTCAACATTTCTGCCGAGAGACACACAGAGTGAACATTTTGATAGGGCTCTTCTTCAGAACACCTGGGAGCTCAGCGATTGATAACTGATTGAAGACAATTACAAAAGGACAAAAGATAGGAGATTCAGGAAACATTCTATCACCGTCTCCTCCATCGCTACAGCACTCTTTGAAGTAGAGCCATAAGCTATAGGAAGCTACACATTTGTTAATTCTTCTTTTTTCCTTTATTCATTCACAGGATGAGGGCGTCGCTGGCTAGGCAGCATCTATTGCCCATCCCTAATTGCCCAGAGGGCAGTTAAGAGTCAACTACATTGTTGTGGGTCTGGAGTCACATGTAGGCCAGACAGGGTAAGGATGGCAGTTTCCTTTCCTTAAGGACATTAATGAACCAGGTGGGTTTTTCCAACAATCTGCAATGGATTCATGGTCATCATTAGATTCTTAATTCCAGATATTTATCGAATTCAAATTCCACCATCTACCATGGCAGGATTTGAACCTGGGTCCCCAGAACATTAACTGGGTCTCTGGATTAACAGTCTAGCGATAATACCACTTGGCCATTGCCTCCCCTCTTGTGTCTTCCTGAGGCAAGAATTTTATTTAACCGCATAAGTTAATTTTTCCTTTAGTTTTCTTATAGGAAAACCCTCTGAAGATTAAAAAAAAAGCACAGGGAACATGATAAGACTTATCCTTGAAGCACAAACTATTTTTCTCTGCCTTTAGCTTAGTAAGTATTGGCTAGAATTAAGTTGGAAGTATGAAAGGTTAACTCATCCATTAAATTGTTAAAACACAATTTCCAAGGTTACAATGACACCGTGCTTCACATGATAGAATACATGGCTGCCTTTTGATCCAGGCATGTATGTAGTTACTGGGCTACTAATTCTGACTCGTGCTTTAGGGACACAAGTTCAAATCCCACCATAGCAGCACGTGGAATTCAAATTTAGTCAATTAATAAATCTCAAATTAAAGGCCTATGTTGGTAATGATGACCATAAAACTACTCTGTCAGAAAAATCTCGT